GTATTAAACTCTAAAGCAACTAATCTAAATGTTTCGACAGCTTTGTTCACTGCCCCAGATATCTATCTTTTGTGACACTTTTCCATCAGAAAGCCTATCAGTGAGCCTTCAAAGCATTACTTCTGCAACCCAAATTGGAGGATGTAAATGAGGGGGAGGAAAATTCAAGGTATGAAATGTATTTTTGAGCAGCAAGGCATCTCCTTCCCTCTCCTCTCAGGAAGCGTGTGCTGAACAACTCAACCAGGGTCTTGTTCTCAAACCTTTGTTAGCTCTTCCCCAGTTAAGAGGAAACACTTACCATTTGAAGGAAGTACTGATCAGAGAAGTAATATTCCCTGTAGATAAGTCTGTTATAGGTGGGCTGCCCATGTGTCAAAAGGCTTGGATGCCATGTTTCACCAATGAAAGTAATTGGTGGAGGCTCAGGTGTTCTTCTTGTCTTTATACCAAAAGAAACTGTGCATCTTTTTCCACTTGTGCAAAGACTTCTTAACAGTGAAGTATTAACAAATGAAATTTGATGTCAGAATAAGTGAGATTTGCAATTAATTTAAAAGGCTAAAATTTCTGTAAACTCTGAAGATTACTTCCTTGCCATAGTTGCCCTGTATAACAGGCTCTGTATTGGAAGCAATATAGAAAGGAAAACCCTGAGACAGACAAGACTTCCAAATGGTTTCCAGAGAGAGAAATTGATCTTATTTGTTGTTGAAGTATTGAGTTTTATGGGAGGAAATTAATTTCACCATGTACCTTCAGCAAGCTTCGTCTGTTGATACTTGAGTTTGTTAGAGCACTAGTTGATGGAAGAGCAAGAAATAGGAAGAGATCATGGTGGATGAAGTTGTGGGATAGAACGAATGGATTATCTACGAAGACAACCTGATTTATCCTCCTCAGCTGGACAGATGCTAGTTTTCACCCTGTCCTCGTTGCTGGAATGCCTATGTGTGTTAGCAGGGAAAAATGATGCTTCCTCTGGTAGTGGTCTGTCCTTTTGTCTTGATCTATAATGTATGTTATGCTGAATTTACGAAGGTTTTGGTTTGAAGCCTTGAAGGCGTTTGACTGAACATAAGGCTTGTGAGCTTTAAACAGTGTGAATCCAGATGTTCTGTTTAAACTGCTTGGTGAGAATTGTGTTAGTCATTCTACAGTATTTCTGTAGAAAATAACTTCTGCTGTTCTTGCAATTTTACTAGAATTGGAAAGAGTTGGTCAAGGGTGTATGACTCTCTTCCTAATGCGTTGTTCTAGGCTGTCTCTGTGGCACTGGGAGGCTCTGCTGAGCTTTTTTTGTAAACATTAAAACTGGCCCCAGGAGACCCAGTCAGGACCGCTTGCTGCCTGTGCTGTGCAAAGGATGAAGTTGCTGCTTCCAGAGGGGCGCTCTGTCCAGGAAAAACAGGAAGACCGAGGAGGAAAACTCAGCACTGTGCCCAGCTACGCTTGTTAGTAGATAGCCAGCTGAAATAAAACTCTGCCCATCACCTGGTGTTTAGTGTTGTGCAAGTTCAAATTAGTATTTCCACCCAAGAATCTTATGTGGTAGTTCAGTAGCATAGTGGTGTGTCTATCTCTGAGCAGCTCTAACCAGGGGGGTTCCTTTCATCTGCATAGTCCAGGGCTGAGACTTGTCTTTAGAGAACTCTCTGTACATATGTCTAGGCAGCTTCAGACTCAAACCAGAGGGTTTTGGAGGTGACTGGCTGCCTCGTGGATGTGAAAGGGGTTTGGATCTATCTGAAAGGTTACCTAAAAAGAACAACACAAGAGCCTGTGTTTCCTGCTGTGGTACCTTCTCTGGTAACTGCTGAGTGTAAGTTTTTCTTCTTGGACATTGCTTCCAAACATTGTTTTGACCTGGTGCTGCTAGTCTGTGCGTTTGAACAAGAACATTGCCAGTGATCATGCCATATATTCTTGAATCCTTCAGCCATGTCTGAAAAGACTGAACTGCAAAGGGAGATGTTCACCTGCCTTTACTGGAAGCATTTACAAGGGCTAGTTGTGATGTGGGGGTCAGTTGCCTAGTCACATGAGAGTAGTGTGCAGCTCATTCACTATGTAAGCTTGTTTGTCCTTGAAGTTTTGCTTAGGTGAGGCTAGCTCTGAGTTGTGCCCTTGGCTTGGTTTTTTTTAATTGACATGCAGCTCCTTGATATAAGAGAAGATCTTTCCAGTCCATTAGTTCTTGAGTTGTATGTTCTGAAATCCCTTTGCCACGGGTTATAAGAAACATAGGCTATTTTGAGGTCATCTTTTTTCTTTTGTATGTGTGTATTTGTGTAACTTGATCAGACCAGTACACCTACTTCTTGTAGTTCATTCAGTGGAGTTGAAAAGATGAGGTTTAACGGCTGAACTGAAACCTCTTTGTCCATGTTGGCCCTTTCAGTTCTAGGAAAGCATCTGTGTGAGAAGAGAGTTTATAGTATGTGCTTCTATTTTAGCATATATTTTAGTGTTCATTCTAAGTGCTTTTGCTGATTTAATCTGAAGTTTGACAGGCGTGATTCTGCCCATCATTGGGACAGGACTTGGCTTGCTTTCTGTGCCCAACATAGTGAAAATTAAATTAAGGGCCCATAAATCTGGATATACTGCAGGGACTATAATTCATTTAGCTTTCCTTCAATGTCCATCAATGGCTGGCAATTATAAATCAGTAGTCTCATTCTTCAGAGTTTAATTCGAATGAATGTGGACTGATTTAAGGTCTTTGATAGATTAAAGCTAAACCATGAAACACCTGAGCCAACCTACCAAAAAAAAAAAATCTCAATGTGGGCATTAGTAATGCATTTGATGCTGACAGTATGAGAAGACTTTTCCTAAAATAAGCATGAAACATATTTATCTAATCTAGTTTTTAGACTTGTCACTATTGGGTAAGTTTGTGGTAGGTTCAGATTGCTTGCCTTAATGTAATGAAGGAAAAATTAGTAAATGAAGTCTCAGGTGTCGTACTTTCAACTCTGTGCAATAGTTAATAAAAGCTGGCCAATAAAAAGAAGTCTCTGTTCTTGTTCTATAAAAAGGTCTCCTGTTTATGCGGTGGCAACAACCGTCAATTATTTTTCAGTTGTCCAGTTTGGCTGTGAGCCAGTACATTGTAGAATAGCTGATTTCCTTGCTGTAATTTTGGAACTTCTAAGTGTTTTTGTAACTTCTTTTTAAATGGGATTTATGAAAGTGGGGGACTAAGGGTATTTGTCTGCTAGAGCTAAGTACAGGCAGGACCCGTGCTGTGCAAGCGTCACTTAACTTTACTACTAATCTTGGAGCTATAGCACCACCTGCTATTCTTGCTGTAGGTTTCACAAGTGAAAATGGAATTTTCTGTTATGGTGTAGTGGCTTATAAATTATCTGTGGCGGTCTAGTTTTAAACCATTAAACTTGTGCTATCTGTGACTGAAGCTAAATATAAACTGAAATCTTCAGAGTAGAGAGATTAGGGTATAAATACAATGTCATCTCATTCCAAGGAGGAAGAAGCCATGTTAGAAGTAGGTGTGGACCCAGCAGTCCTTCCCTCTCCTGTCTTCAGGGACAGAGCTTTTTTAATGTTGAAAAGGTAAATTAAAATAGTGGACTATCAAATGCAGAGCAAACAGATATTTGGAATACTGATCAATAGTGCGGGCTTAAGTGGTGGGTGTGTTTTTGTTAAAGCAAACCTTTCCGCCACTTAAAGGATCAAGCTTAAGTACTCGAGTGAGTAAGTCTTTGGGAGTAGCTTGCCAAGTGTTCTTCGGAATATGTCATACTAAGCATAATATGTCTTGCAATACTCATAACTTTGGATTTAGGCAATTTGATATTCCCTTATAAATTCAAAATGACAAAAATTTGCCTGGCCTTTAGAGAATGTGTTGTGCTTGATAAGCTTCCAGTGGACTTGTCAACTTGGTAACAGCTTCTGGTTGAATGCCACAGTGCTAGTTGTCTGTAGACTTTTATTGTGAGTTGCGGAGAGTCAGGTGGGCTTCCAGTTCTCAATTTATTCATTAGATGTGTGCATCTTAGTGAACCAGACTTGAATTGGAGCTGGATTTTGCCTGTTTAGGTTCAGACTCGGAGCCCTCACCTAGAGAACTGCATGTGTTCAAGTCTTGCAAGGCTGGGTGTAGGCTGTGTGAGTGTTTGTTTGGGATGTGCCTGCTGAATGAGGGTGGGAATTAGAGTTGGTAAGCAGATGGTGCTCTTGCTTAGGGATAAACAGTCACCAAGTCTGTGGCTTCACAGTTGCTAGAGATGAGTGAAGCCATGTTACTGACTGACTGAAAAGTAACTGCAAAAACCTGAAAAATATTACATGTGAGGCAAAGAAGGGAAAGGGGATGTTGTCTGGTTGGAAGGGGAGTCTGCTTCTGACCCTTTCAGGGATAGCCCTCAGATTGACTGGAGGTTAAGGTGCAATCCAAGGTAAGTATCACACCTTTGAAAGAAATGCCACGTGGCCCTTGCTTGGTGCCAGGAGCAAATCTCTCAGTGGTCACAATAGGTGGGTTTTTTGCCAATCTGAAAATATAGTAAATAGTAAGTTTACATTGGCAATTAGCAGGTAAACTGCTATCAAGAAAAATACTCATAACGGCTTTTAGTGAAGCATTTTGTATTTTGTTGAAGGGTGGAATGATCACCTTGTTTGTGGTGGTTTATTCTAATTATGATCAGTGTTTGTAAACCAGTTCCACCTTGCATGGAAGATGTTAAAGGAGTGTAAAAGTATTTGTTTGAATAATGTGGGTTTCTGTGGTTGATATCAAAGTACCTCATGCTTATGTTTTGTACTGTTTCACAATAACTTCATCTTCAATATGTTTTGTGTGCACACTTAAGTTAATCTATGCATATGAACTTCCTGCCTAGTAACTTGAATCATGTAGCACGCCAGTTAAGATAGTTCAGGTTCCTCTCTGAAAAGATAGTAATTTATCTTGGTGGTGCAGTGCAGATTGATTTAGACTTCTCCCATTCTCTTATCCACAGCAACTGGAGCAGATCCAGAAGGAGCTAAGTGTTCTGGAAGAAGATATTAAACGAGTAGAGGTGAGGTGCCCAGACATTGTTCTGACTCTGGCAATTTTTCATTTTCATCAAGCTGTCTGCCTTGCTGTGGGGCTGCTGTGTTAAATTTATGGCATTTGAGTCAGTAATGGGGGAATGAACAGATGATGCTCTTTCTTTAATTTGTTCATTTAGTTGATGTGTGCAAGCTGCAGGTTGGTGAGAGGAGGCTTCATTGAAACCTAGCTCTTATGTAATCGTATCAATTTCTTTGTGTTGGTAGTAAGTATTTTAGAATAATTGCTAGAAATCAACAGCCAGTATATTGATCATAACTTACGATTTTTGTACGTTACAGTGTTCTGGCTATTTGCACAGGCTGTTTAAATCTTAGCAGCATGCCACTCTTAAAATGGAGAGGTATTGGGGGGCGCAGAAGAGAGCTGTAGTGCAGAGGCTGGGTAGGAGCAGAACCAGCTCCTGCTGTGTGTCGAAACAGAAGCAATCTGCTACCTCTTTATATAATTCTCTTAATTCCTTAATGATGGAGATTTTTGTTAAGAATTATTCTCCATATATTTGTAAACCCATCAGCTCAACCCTTCTGTCCTTAGGTTCCTCCTTGGTCCTTTCCTCTAATCATTCTAGTGTTTTGATCTTGGAAAAGGAAACTGATGTTTCAGGAATGCAGAAGACTGCCATCTCTCAATATAGCATTCCCTTAAAGCTTCTTGGGAATCAGTTTGCAGGTCTGCTTCTCTCTTCTTGCTCGTCTTGAGCAGTCAGCACAAGCTCCCAACCACGGCCCAAAAGCCCTTTAGATTTTTTTCACTTCCAATTTACACACGTGCTGATGAATTATCAAAATATAAATAGAACTGACAAATGCAGAAACTTCTCTTCAGCTGATAGCTATGCAAATAACTTGGTAGGTAACAGCATTTTTCAGACCTATTTCTCTAAATGTTTCTCAGCTCTTGGGAAATAAATATACTGTAGCATGTTTCCTTGAGACTGGTAAAATAGGTCTTCAGATCTAGGAGAAGCTATTCCCAAAGCTGCGGGATCCCTCGAAGACTAGCTACCTGCTTTTCTGCTCTTTAATCAGGCACTTCAGTGGACTGCAGCTGGGGTATGTATCTGGTGTGTGATAGTGACCTTGGTTCTGACCTCTAAAGCTTGGGATCTCTCTTGTCACAAATATCCTACTTTCTACCTAACAACTAATGGGCACCTAGTGGGAATCTGAAAAGCATCAGTAATGTTGTCCAGGAACACTTTGCCCCCTAACTAATGAGCTGCAGCATCCTGCATAGCTTCCATTTTTCAAACAGATGAAAGGTACAGTCTCATACTGGGTACACAGCAGTGACTTAGTCTGGCAGTGACAAAGCCAAGTTTATGTGCAAAGTTTGTCTCTTGTGCGCTTGCCCCACAGAAGACTGATAGATCTCTTTTAAGTCTGGGGCACGATACCATCTTTGCCCGCTTGTCTTGTGGCAGTTCTTGCCACGACCCATATCCAGTATTACTTTCCAGCTGTGAAGGCTACTGGAGGAGTTTTGCATGTATCTCAAAACTGCAGTTACAGCTTCCTTGTTCTGCCATGTGTAGGGGAAGTGCTGGGTTAGACAAAATTGGATGGTAACCAAATCCATTGATTTTTGGAGTATAAATTCCAGAACTGCCTATTTTGGGGCAAAAAGGACTGTAGTTGTAGGATTTCTGAAACCCAGTTGGAATGATAATTGAAAAAAGAAAATCTAAGAAAATCAATGTTTCTTCAGGTATAGTAAAGTCTTCTAGGTGAGGGTTGAATAATGTAGATACAGTAGGTTATCTGCTTGGAAAAACAAAAAATTACTATGTGAACGCTACATATTAGGCAGCGTCTACTATTCATGTTTTGTCAGCTTTGCTGTAATATGGCTTTCTGTTTCAGGAAATGAGTGGCTTGTACTCCCCAGTCAGTGAGGACAGTACAGTGCCGCAGTTCGAGGCTCCCTCACCTTCACACAGGTATGGAGCTTGCAACTCAGAACTTGGATTTCAAGCTGTACATATTGCACTGTACTTGCTAGTCCTCTCTGTGCCATGCCCAAAATACAAGCAAAACTAGTTTTTGAGTACTGTACAATAGTTTCCTGTTCTGTTTTTGATTGGTGTAAACTTTTATGTGAACAAAGCAGTGAAGAAAAAGCCATCAGAGTCTGCAGCTGAATGAAAAGTCTATTCTAAACCAGATGCTGTGGAAAGCTGATGGTTTTAAATGTAGTGTGGATTAGTTAACTTGAGTCATAAGCCTTTGCTATGGTATGATATATTACTGTTAAACACATGCTACCTTTTCTGAATGTTATGCAGTTCTGCTTGGCATATGAAAGGTCTTAATTTTGTATGACATTGGTGTCCTCTGGCTTTCCCCACTTAGCGTGAATAGCTAAAGGTACGGGCTCACAGCATCAAAAAGTAAAATATACAGCCTATTGATTCTGTTTATCTGCTGTCTGTTTTGATTTAATGAAATGCCTTTCTAATAATGTAATTGCAATGTGGATTTTTGTCTGGAATATTGCATTGTCTGGTTTCTTGATGATAAAATTGCAGATGCTTCTTGTGTCCAAGTTGCATGTGCCAGGGTTTGAAGTGCTCTACTTCTTTATAGGAGTGGGTTTTGGTTGTAAGAAGGCTCTGATTTCACAGGGCCAAGTTATATTGTTAAACTGTCATCTCTCCTCCCTCTCCCCAGTGTATTTTCCTAATAGTAGAGCTCTCTAAACTGTTGAATTCTGTTACAAAATTGTACGAGTACCTTTTCTGCAATTAGCAGCTCGAAACCTAATAGCCCAGAAGTAAGCAAGAAAAAATGATCAGATTTCCTCCGCTACAGAGAGTTAGATACAGTGCTCTGGTAAGCAGCCTAGCAATATTGGCTGGGAATTCTTACCAGGGTGCTATTTATGGACACAGACACCAGAATCTCTCATATTTCTATGAAACTGTGGTTGGCCCTGGGGGGAAAGGACAGGAATGTGGCCAAGATGGATAACAGTGTTATTCTACCCTTTGCTGCTTACCTGATTTTTGGGTGCAGGTGTGTGTTTGATGTGGTTTATTGCTGTTTTACCAAGCAGCAGTTGTGAAGCTGATGAGATTCTTGTCAGGTTCTACTAGTTTTCATTATTGGCTATTAAATAGATTGCTTGTTGTTTGCTTCATGGTACTGCTGCTTGGGGAAAACTTGAGCACTGATTGGGCTGAATTTGTTATATGTTGAACACCCTCAGGCCTAGGAACCCGTCTCTTTTTAACAGAAGACTGTACTTATGGAGGAAATGTATCTCTATTACTTGAGCCAAGCTAACAAAAAACCTCCCAAAGAACTTCTTTATTTGTTCAAAGCTGAAATAACACTTTAAGCCTCAGAGTTTTGGTGAAAGAGCTGGGGGGGAAAAAAATGTTTTGTGCGAGGCCTACCCTGGTGTCAGTCTACTGAGAATTTCTTCTTATTCCTTTATGCCTGTTTATTTCATGTCCTAGGGTCAATCATTCTCAGTTCTTGCTTTTGAAGATGTAAGATAGTGTCCAAAATATTTTGGTGACTTTCCATTGATATGATTAATCTGAGGTCTGCTGGGGAGATGGCAGTGGGTTAGACTATGGCAGGTGCAGAGACCATGGGCTGTTTTTCTTGTTTGATCCTCTTATGCTTGTCTGGTTCCATCTTGGCTGTGGCTTCACCCAAGAGGGTTTTTCCTCTGGTACAGCATGCCAGGGGTGTGATACAATAGGATGTTTAGAGGTTGTGGGGTTGCCTTTTTCTCTTGGCTTAAGACCCCTGTTCTGTTTCTCAGTGACATTCCTGCATTAAGAAGTAGGTAGTCTTGAGTGGTTGAAGAGAAAATAGTATGCGAGGTGCCTGAACAGGCGGCAGTTGTTGCTGCGCTCTTGTAACTTCTGTCCCTGCCCTATCCTCACAGTTTTGTGAAATTAAAGTAATTGAACTGGTCTGAATACCAGAACTCAGATTCCAGAAAGGTCTACCACTTGAAATTTGTTTTCTTTTCAACATTAAATGTGAATTTTGGAGAGTATTCCACGAACTGTAACTTTGATTCCTCCTTGGAAAGAATGCTGCAGAACAACTGATAGGAGCTTTAAAATGTGCTGATTTTTTTTCAGTTCTATGTTAATGGAAATACTTCATTTCCAAACTGCATTTTAGAGATGCTGTGAACCAGTAAGAATGAAATACAAATATAGTTTGCGCTGGCTTCACTTCCATGTTAAAATGTTATGAAACTTGCAGACACTTTTTTAACTTATCAGGGTATTTAAGCGGTATATTTAAACTGGAATATAACTTGTTAACATGCTGAACTCCCTGCTAATGAAATTTAATTGTGTAAAATTCTACTCATGTCTTATAAATAGTACAAGGTTATCATAGACCCGTGCTGAGATGAAGAAAATGTCTCTAACCTTTGAATTGAAAGTTCAAGGAAAGAGAGTTCTTTGGAATTTGGTTTTATCTCATCTCTAGTGACTTGTGCTTATTCATTTACTTCCTCTAAATCACAGGCTTGCTTCATTAACACTGTATTTCTTTTCATTGTTTGTAGCTTTTTCCCCCCACACTCATAACATCTTCAAACTGTGAAATTACTATGCCTCCCCCATCTTCCTTTATAAGTTCTTTAACAAAAAAACAAGTACGGCTATCATGTTCAATATGTTCTTGGCTTCAAGAAACACGTGTTCTCTCTTATGCTTGTACAGGGTATGATGAAATATTAAATTGGGTAATAGCACAGCACTTGTTTACGGCATTGCAGATTGCTGGGCTTCTATACTAATAGAGAACAAGAGGGGAAGAATAAGGGAAAAGAACAAATAGTTCTGTGTAGGGTTTTTCTGAACAGGCGTGCATGCTATTTTTGCTATCAGTAAATGGTGCAAACAGGAGATACAAATAAGCAACTTCTCTGTGACTACATATTCAGGCAGTAATAGCAAATAACAAACTATCACTCTGAAAAGAGTTTCTGGGGAAAGATTCTGATCTAAAAATTAGTTGCCTGGTAACTCTGATTCAGTTATTGAAATCCTGATCTCCTTCCCCTCCATTTGTTCTAATTACTCCCTCCCACCCCCATAAGGGTATAACAAATGGGACTTACAGACTGCAGGTTGCTGTGTTGTTGTTGTTCCAGGTTTTTAAATATGTCGTGTTAGTGTGGCTGAATTTCCTAATTGAACCTAATGTTACGGCTTTTAAAAAGAATTTGGAGGGAACTTCTGTAATTTTCTGATTATTTGCTTCCTGTTTTTAAAAGGAAAAACATTCAAGCATATGCCAGTTAACTCAGCCACAGGCACCACACAGAAATTACTTTGAATTTGTATTCTGGTTAGGGACATGACGTCTGCACTTTTGAAGGCTTTACATCACCAGACAACCTGCAGCAAAACGAGACCAGACGCTATAATTCTGTGTGTTTTGCTGTTAATTGCCACTATACCTGTCTCAGAGTGGAGTACCTTTTCATTGCTTTCCAGCCGAGCTTCTTATTCATGCTGTTCCTGGCAGGATCTGCTGTATGTGTTTCATTATTTCATGTGGCCACATTCTAATTTAAAGTTCATTGTCCCCAACCATGCCTGAAACAGCTCTGCTGTTTTCTCCCTTGCAATAGCTCGCAGCAAATAAGGATTTTTTATCCCTCGGATTTTCTTGGTTTGCAGCTTTTGTCTTGCCTGTAACAGAAGCCCAATCAATCTCGTCTTACAAGTTAACCATTACTGAGACTTTAAAATCATCTCTCACATTCTGTTTCTGCTTCCCTTCACCTCCAGGGGAGCTTTAAAATGTTCAGAGAAATTTTTAAGCGCTAGTACCACTGCTTCATCATTCTAGACTTGCGGGTACCCTGACTGGTGTTTCAGCCAAACCACTTGTTTTATGACCAAGGATGTCAAGTCTGTGTATCAGTTTTGGCAGCTGTTACATAAACATCAATAGGTACAATCATCTTTTACAAATCCAGGTGTGTCCTAGCAGCTTTTTAAAGAAACCTTCAGGTTTCCAAAGCAATGCTTAAATCTAAGGTTAACTTGTAAGTAAGACTAAGAATAGTGAACCCAGATAGTTTCTTTTCTGTCCAAGCCAAATGACGTAGCAGAAGCGAGTTATAAAGATTTTTGGAAACAAATCATGGTGATATTTGTAATGTGTTCTCTGTAATTAATGAAATGGTGTTCTTGTGTACTAGCCTTTACTTGTTCTAAAAGTATTTTAAATTTTTGAGTGGTAAGGGTGCTTTAATCTGGCTCTGGTGACTCTGTGAGAGTTAAATATTTTGCCCATATGTGCAAGAATACTGAACCACCTGTTCTCTGCTTATGTCAGTAGATCCTTTTGCAGTTCTGAAAGTTAAATCTCTTGAGTTTGCATATGTATGCTATGTTTTGAAAACAGTGATTTAAGGTATGTTGTGTCATTATAGCTATATATGGTATAGCATTGTCTAATAAGAGTAATCTTGGCTGTTAGTATTCTTTTTTTAAGTTTATTTCTGTATTTCATTGCTTGTGTCTCCTTTGTGTGTCTGGAATGCTAGCATCTCTCTGAAACTTGATTTCTCTAGCTTTTCTCTTAACAGTGCTGTTTCAAATGCCACAGCATTAAACCTCTCTTTTTTTGAAACAAACTGAAAACCAGTGGTAGCATGTTATCTTCAGAATGTCTTATCCTGCATATTTCATACAAAAGATATGCTTTTGCATTCTAATTAGAAATCATTAGATTGCACTACACAAAATTGAGTGTGACAGTGTTCTACTCTAGGAGATCCCTGTATTTAAAAAAAAAAAAAATCTCTCCCAACCCCCCAAACAACAAATAACCTTGTGTTCACTGTCTGTAAAATGAATTTTAAAGGCAAGTATGCTGCAGGATGTAAAGGGGGGAATAGCAAACAGGTTAAAAATGATACAGGATGGTTTTACAGTGATTTAAACAGACTGTTTCTTTTGGTTTTGCAGTAGTATTATTGACTCCACGGAGTATAGCCAGCCTCCAGGCTTCAGTGGCAGTTCTCAGGTAAGGTAATACATGTGTCTGTGTACAGGGGTCGGGAGAGTGAATGTGAAGGGTGGGTAGAGATGAGGCACAGCTCCATCCATCTCCAGGGTACTGGCCATCTCTAGTCTTGTAAATGCTTTTAACTGGCTGTGTGGGCAAACCGGAGCCAAGACTACAGCTGTAGGAATGACTGTGCATGATTGTGAGTGTCCATGCTGATGCCATCCAGGAAATCTGGTGTCATATATTTAGACATCTGACTTTATTCCCAAAGCTGACTCTTCCAGGGAAGAGGGGATATTTTTTGCTCTTTATCTCTTCTCCAAAGTGGGCAGCATTTGGGAAGGGAGGTAAATCCCTGATCGTTTGCATTGACTCAGATACCTTTGGATCAAGCTTGACTTTCAAAACAAGAAACATTCATTCTCCAAACATATAGCTGTTTTGTAGTTTGTCCTTGTTTAGGGCCTTACAAACTGTATTATATATTCACGTAGAGGGTAAAAAGTTGTGTATACAGTGAAGCCGTTTGGCAGGCAGCCTCCAAACTGTCTGATCCATAGGGCCTTCCAAATGCCAAACAGTACTGCCATAGTCTTGCAGTTCAGAGCGATTCAGTTGGGCTGGGAAGATGACACTGATAACCAGCTTACAGCTTCAAAAAGGTTAAACAGTTTTGATTTAGACAGATGGACTGTTGGTTATGTGCCAGCTCATGCCTTTGGTGCTCTCTGGTGGTGGCGGACCATCCATGGCACACAGCAGTATCGAACTGGTAAATTAACAGAAGTGCTGTTGGACCTTATTTGATGGAGTAACTGATAAAAAGAAAACACCTGAATTTTGGGCTGATGTGCATGTATGTGTGCATGCAGGGTTTGGGGTTTGTAGCTGTATGACTAATAGGTAATTAGAAAATTCCTTCTATTAATATGTGGAAAAATGCTTGTTGTTCCTGCTACTGTGGTCTGGGAGATATTTGCTTGAACAAAGAATTGTAGTTCTACCTCACTTCAGAGGGCAAGTGAAATGTGGGTGGAGATCTTATGTTCAGGACTCTGATACAGTACAGTGTTTGTTCTCCACTGACACTGCTTGTCTCAGTACTTTCTTTCTATTTCAAAGACAAAATTAATAGCATAGCTGGTAAGTGCACAAAACAAACAACCTAGACTTTCTAGTCATTCTATGACAGCCTTATTTGTGTGAGAATAATTTTTTTGTCCTCAAATGCAATTTTTTTGTTGTCAAGAGTGCAAGATCTGTACTCTCTAGTGCAAATTTTTGAATTAAACTTTAATATGTGTTTGGATGGGGAGATGAAAGAACTCTTGAAGTTTAATACTTCATTCAAAGATAGTCTAATTTCAGCAAGACTTTATCATAAAAATAGTTTTAAGAATATAAATTCAATTGTGCTTTTTTCTAGTTGTCAGTCATGGCAAAAATCATAGATTGCGCACTACTGGCAGTGAGAAGTTATGCTAGGATGGACAGCATAGCTTGCTTTCTCAGTATAATTGGTTTGTTCATTGCTCATGAACGTGTTCCTAGGGAAGAACTTATATCAAAAAGCTACAGGATGGTTTTCTTCCAGAAGCTGAGCTTCAGAAGTAAATAGTGGACAAGTCGCGTAGGCCCTGGGGAATTCTGCAGGTAGTATTTAGCTACTTGAAGCTTTTCCACAGTTGCTGGAGGACTCAGAGCACCTAATGGAGTTCAGCCAGTAAAATTACTCTTGATAACAGAGCAATTCTAACTAATGTCCTCAACTAGGACAACCATAGTAGTTTTAGCAGTTGAATAAAAATTGCTTAGGTATATTTTCTCTTTTCCCTAATTTTTTTTTTCCTCCTGTTCCCAGCATTACTTAAGAAATAGGCAGGGAGCAGGCTTCATAGAAACTCAATAAATATTTTGGTAAAACACGAGCAGTTTAAAATGCTTAGCTGGGGAGGATCTGATGAAGATGAGTTAATGCAGACTGATTCCCAGCACAGATGAGTCGCCATGTACCAGCCTGAGAGCTGCTCTGGGAGGATCTTCCTCTGGAGACCCAGCAGGTGTATCACACAGCAGATAAATACTTAGCGTGATTGACTGCATCTTGGTGTGGACTGGGCTTATCTGGCAGATCAGACTTGTGCTTGGCTTATATTGGTCATCATGTTGCAGGCAGCTCGTCTTAACTTGAAAACTGAAGTGATTGCTCTTCGATGCTTGAAGTTGTCTTGAGTCATAATCACTCCTGATGTGCTGAGAGAGGCTGGAGCCCTTGCAGGCTGGTGTGTAAAATTAATAAGAAGATGATATAAGTGTTCCATTAAGTATTTCTTAAAGCTGTGAAGTCTTAGAAAATTGCAGTTAAAAACTGTGGAGGTAGGAATACTTCCCAGTGTTCTAGTTGTTGAGTTGCTTTTGAGATGAAACAAGCTGTGTAGACCATAGGTGCTGTCAACATGCAAGTGTGAGTCACAATATCAGGTAACATATAGCCAAGGGGCCTTGCGCGGGAAGCAGTGTCTGGAGGTTTCATTTATTTGGGCTTGATTTTTTCCCTAAAATGTTAGATTACTGTTCATACAGGTATAAACAGAATTTGAGTGGGCTCTGAACTTAGTTTGTTCTTGTTGTCTTGTTTGATGGCTGTAATGAGGGCAGCCCATTCTCCTGTGTGGATTGAGGGGGAGTTGTAGGCAGGGTGGGTTTTGTTAGTGCCATTGAGTGGTATTGCGGACCTTGTATGTGGTAAGGGTTGTTGTTCATTAGGGAGCTTTGTGGTTCTCAAATCTTTTAAAATTTCCTCATTAGCTTTGAGTATGTGATATGTGAGACTTCTTAAATATAAACTAAAGCAAGCTGCTTTTCATGCTTCTTGTGTAGTAGAGGAGTTGGTTCCTTTTCCTTACTAGTGATTAAAATGAGAAGTACTGCATTTTCTGTTTTGCTTCAGAAGGAGAGCTTACCTATGTAGTTTGTTCTTTGCTTTTGCCTCTCACTATTACTGTTTGGGTAGGTTGGGAAATGGCCTTAATGGTGAGTTTCATGGACTTCTTTTCAATTAACCTTTGAACTTCATGGTGTCTTCTGCTTCTATCTTTATTTGCTTAGCTTTACAGACAGTTACTGAGTTGCTCCAAAAGAAATAATTCAGTAGCTAACTCTTTAAAATAAACACCACCTTCTCTTTCTAATGAGCTGTCTGCCAGCGATCTAGGAAGTATTTGTTGTACAGTCTGTTTGATTTGTGAAGCTGGAATTCTGGTATCTTTAGCCTCTGTCTATCTGTATAAATGCAAGATGTGACTCCCCAAAGGTTGCTGCTCTCTGTCCTATGTGAGAGGCCAGAATTGCTACATTAGCAAAGGTTCGGGAAACAAAAACTGTCAAAAAGTGGCTTTTCTTGTTTGTCAGGTTAAAATAGGACCCTAGGAATGTTGACAGTGAGCAAGATCTTAACTTATTGTCACTTTACACTTCTAACCCTTTGTATATAATATACAAATTGCTTATAATTTGGTAAAATCTATTGAAATGAAACCCAAGCCTGTCTTTACCTTTCTGAAGTGTCCTCCCTTTTATATTCAGACCAAAAAGCAGCCGTGGTATAACAGCACACTAGCCTCACGACGCAAGCGGCTCACAGCTCACTTTGAGGACCTAGAGCAGTGCTATTTTTCCACCAGGATGACACGTGTCTCGGGTGAGTTCCTCTTGTGTGGTGTTTGGCTTCTGACATCAGTTACCTCTTAACAGTGCTTAGACCTCAGAAAAGGCTTGCTTTTGAGAGAGTAGCTTTCACTTCTTCCCTGACTGGAATATTGCTATACATATTTATGTGTGTTACTGATACCATCCTGTTTTGCTTTTCCTGACCAATCTTTGATGTTGCTAGATTTAGAAAATTTAATCCTGTCACTTCAGAGGGGCACATGTGTTGCTTTTGTAATCCTGTACTGTGAAGGGCATAACCCACACTAAACAACTTCACTGATGCTTGTTCTGAAGATGCAAATGTTTGAAAGCAGTGGTTGGGTTGTCTTTCTACTAGATGTGGTATAAACACAGTAGTTAAAAACATTGCTGTTGAAATACACAGAGGTATAAACATAAATTGATAAATTCTCCTGTATTTAGCATGCAATAGGACACTTCGAGGTTATCCTTTATGTTGTCTAGATTGAGTCATAGTTAACAAATGGCTTGGAGTATAGAAGCTGAGTATGCAGCAGCGTTGTTGTCCCATGGGGCACACCTTAAATCTAAGGCTTGTTTTGTAGAATCAGAAGCTGTTTTCACAATTGCCTAGATTGCCTCATTCATAATTGAGTACCGGTGTGACAGCAGCTAGAGTAATTGTTACCCAGTGGATGGATGGTTCTTAATTACATGACAAGATGCTCTTAAGAAATGAATGGGTCAAATGAATATGTCTTGAGGTTGAGGAGGGTTGCTCTCTGGCCCCTCTGGGGAAGAAGCCAGCTTTGGGGGAAAAAAGTTTCAGGCAATGGGCTGTGGCAGGTGAGAGACTTGCAGCACCAAGCTGTGAGCTGCAGACTGACAGACTGCAGTGAGGAGCAGAGAGCAGCCAGCCCTCAAGGGATGGGAGAACCCCCCTAGGGACAAGAGGCAACCAGGCAGAGGCTGCTGCAGCCGTGTGTCTTTTACTTGTAGCCTTGGAAGGCAAGGACCAAACCCCCAGGGGACAGAGATCAGCAAGAGAGCTGGGGTAGAAAGCCCTGCTTTTTTTTTTTTTCCTCTATTAATTTAGTTTAAGTTTTATTCACTTTAAATTAAACAAAAATGAGGGCTTTTAAAAATAATTTAAAAACAATAAGTTGGCATTAAGTTTAAAGGCTGGAACATCTTTTAGGGGACCTCAGTCTTAGATATGTCTACATCTTTTATCTACTTCAGAGCAGTGACTGACTCTGGTCTCATCATGCACAGCAAAATAATTTTAACAAGGAATGCAGCACGTTTAGGGGGTGCTTCAGTAGCTGGAAGATTGGAGAAGCTGTGTTGGTTGTATGTGACCAGACAGTTTCCTGTGAAGTGCTAGCAAGTGCTTTGCAGAATACAGTACTTCACAGATCACACTGAAATGTTTTCATGTGGTGCTAACTTGGTGATGCATAACTGTGTTTATGTTAAAATAATACTTATTAACCAGGGATAACAAATGGGGCTCTTCCCAGCATTCCCTTCCAGAAGACATCTTTCTTCATAATTGGAACTATAAATATGAATGCGATGAAACTATTTTTTGTATTCATATGTCAGCTGCACCAAGAGCGGAGGATTTGCAAGTACAGGTTTTTTCCTAAATAAGGGATAACCTGTGATACTTGATTAATTTTTCTTCTCTTAATCCTGCTTTTTGACACATTTTTAATAGGATTTAATGTGGATTTAAAGCTTTTTGCAAGAGGGTGCCTATGACTGTTGTAGTAGGGAGTAGAAATGTAATATAACTGTAATTATGAAATGGCCTTGCACTTCGACGGGGAAAATGTCTTGAAAAATAACATTCGGTTTTCCAGGCACAGATACAGAATAAATTATAGGAGAACTGTGTGCTTGATCTCTAAATGAGGGAAATGGAAGAGTAACAGCTATTTGTTCCTATCAAAGTGTTGAAGGAGGAAACAGTCTTTGAAAAGCACTGACTGATGTTTACATGCTTCTCAAGCTGTTTCCTGTAGTGGTCAGGTGTTCATGATTTTAATTTGGAGCAGTACTTCATTTATTTTGCCCCTTTTGATCCATCTGACATGGGTAATGTATATGCTAGTACTCTTAAACATGCTAATTACTAGCCTTCACTGTTCCTTTATATGATCAAACATTGAATAGCATATAAGGGACACTTCAAAATGCCTTACAAGTGTAGAGCAAGATAATAATTTCTGATGGCAAGGAATTACCAGAGTGCAGAAAGCAATTATTATCTCTGTTTTCCCCCAAGAAATCACAGCTGTATTTTGCTTTTATAGATCAACCTTTTCATTTTTTCACCCCAGTATTTCCAGAGCTTTCTAATAAGTGATGCTTTGTAGTTTCCTTCTGCTGCTGACAAGGAAACAGATAAGGATAACTTAAACAGTGGGTGGAATTTGATCTCAGCCGTGTCAGTGAGTCGTGTGTATGGCTTCTCTGCTGCTGCAGTGGATGCTGTGGTTTAACAGGAGGCAAGGTGTGCAGTAATGTCACTTGCAAACTGGACTACCTGTAAACTGAAGTGCTGTGTGTTAGCACTGTAAGAGTAGCCATAGCTGTAGTTCCCTTAGATGGCACTGGTGCAAAATAACATAGTGAATGTGGGAGTGTTAGAGGAGGAAAGGGAGAATTGCTGCAAATTTTTGGGGTTGTTACAAAGCCTGAAAGCTCTACATAATGTTTGACTGCAGATGCGTGATCATGTTAGGAAGGCTGGCTTGCCCATCTGACATCGCAATAAGTTAGGAATTTTTCCTTATTTAGGAAATACTAAATTATAAATGTTTTGCATAAAATCCAGTGCATATCAAGAAAAATCAGAATTACTGAGGAATCGGGGAATGACTTTCAGCTATCTACACTGTAATTTAGTTTTAATTTTTGTAGCAAACTGTTCCATTTCCCACAGAATATTTATCATCATTTTTCAAGCTGGCTTAATTTTACCTTGTCTGCTGAAGGTCATAATTTTCACAAAACTTATAGTACAGATAGTCTTCTGATTTCATGCTTGTTTTCCTTCTCCAGCCCTGAAACAACTCTCCCTAGGCTCTGTTGCTTTTGTAGTAACAAGACAAATATTTTTTACTAAAAGTCTTTTCAATGTAATTGACACGACATTTAGGCATATTGTAACCAAAGTATGAGGAAAGGAATGTACTCTCACCTCCATAAAAAGATAGATATGTTTTTCACAATGCATTTCAGTATGCTTTAAGTTTTTCTGTTAATAATCTATACAGCCCATGGGCTCTGAATCTGAATAAAATAAATGAGCTTATCTACCAGGAAAGTTGTATTTGTGATCTCTGGGCAGATTCTCAGCACAGCAGGTTCACCCAGTGTTGCAGTGGAAAGACTTAATTTGTGCTCTGAAAAATCATACTGCCTTCAGGGAATGCTACTGGGGAGAGAAAACCTGTTCTTGACCAAGAATCCTCCCCAAATAACAAGCAGAGGTAGCGTCACATGAAGACATAAATCTTGATTTTTGTTTGCTGTTGAGTTTGTTTATCTTCTTACTCTGTTTCTGTCCTCCCCGATGCTGCTGCCTCTCCGTAGATGACAGCAGAACTACCAGCCAGCTGGATGAGTTTCAGGAGTGTCTATCCAAGTTCACACGCTACAATTCTGTCCGACCCCTGGCAACACTGTCTTACGCTAGTGACCTCTACAATGGCTCCAGCATAGTATCCAGGTAAGACACACCGCATCTCATGCTGGTACAGGCTGCTGAGGCTGAGTTAATAACCCCTATTAAACAAGTTATGGTCTGTACAAGTATGACATTCTGCAGTCACTTCCCAAACATAGTTTTGTGAATGTGTGATTGTCCTTGATCTGCAAAGGCACTCCAGTACCACTGTAGTACCTTTCATTCCCATTGTTGTTGGTCAAGACCAAATGCAGAACCTTTGAGGTGCCAGTGAGTATCTGGAGCTATTGTGATAAAAGCACGAAGCCTGTTCTAGGTTCAGTCCTCTTCATGTTAGTATAGTTGCATTGTAAGTCATGCAGTTCTAGCATTGTAAGAAACATCCATCTTGCTTGGTGTTGGTAGCTTTAAGAATCTGTGATGGTTTTAAATATTGTTGGTGGATCCAGTTGTGATGGCAAATATTAAATAGCTGAGTTCTTTTAACTGCTTTAACTCTTGAGTGTTGGAAGCTCTGTTTACAGTGCTAAACACTACTGAGGGGGTGGTTGTGCTAAAGCAACTCAACAGCTCTGTTCTTGCCAACCACAACTCTGTATCCTCTGCCGTGTGGAGGGGTCATGTCCTGTGCACTGCTGCTGAAGCTCATCTGGGCCTCCCATGGTCCAGTTTGGACACGTAGGCTGGTGAAATGCTATTGACTGTTTCTCAACAGAATTAGTTTCTTCTAGTTTAGCTCCATGAACCAGCTCCCTTAGGGCATCAGGCTTAAGAGAGCACATAGGATAGGAAGAGCTTGGGACCTGCCAGCAGCCCTAACCTTAAACTGTTTCAGCAGCTGTGGAAGAGTACCCTGGGGAATTTAATTAGTCTGTGGTCATGTGCTTGGAGCTGGTGGAAAAAATGATGCAACATGTTAATTGGGAAATCTTTTCTGCATCATATGTATGAAGGACCCATTAGCTTCTTACAGGCACATTTCACAAATTTCAATGTAATTGTTCACAGCAACCTTTTGAAGGAGGAAAGAAGTATCATCTCTGTTTTATACATGGGGAGCAGGAGATCTGAAATGGCCATGCCTGATGTCTTGAAAGAAACATGACAATGACATAATGAATGGAACTTGGGTTTTCTGAGTCTTGATCTAATACCTTACGAAGGGGCCATTCTGACAGTGACAGACCAGCTTGAATGTTTGTTGAAAGACCCCAAGAAATTTGCACAATGTGAAGAAATGGAGGCATGTGTAGTGTAGAATACATATTTTTTCAAAGCAGCATTGATTCCTTAACTACTGCAATATGTAGC